CAACTCTAAATAGAAAGTAACACCAAATATCAAATCATCTTCTGCTCTTCTTTTTCTTGTTTTTCCCTATTCAAGTTAAAGAAAGTATTTTTTATTATGATGAATTATATATTTTCTGAAAACTGAAGTCTTTCTAAATTTAAATATGGTGAATTTATAAAATCTGGATGATTTCTTGTGAAGATATTAATTTTTAAAGATTGATATTACAAAAAAAAAAAATATGATTTCTTATTTTTTGAAATTTAGTAAATAATATTTATTAAAATAATTTAATCACTTTCACCTTCACTTTTGATCTCATGATCACTATCTGATAAATTAATACCAACAATACTATTGATTGCATTATCAAGTCTTTTTTCCTCCTTTAATTTTCGTTTTTCCTTTTCTTTTTTTTTTGTTTCTTCTTTTTTTAAAAAATTATGAATTATTGATTTTTTCAACTTACTATATTGAAAAATCTTTTTACCTTTATAATAAAAACGATAATTATTTAAAAAAACAAAATTAAAAGATTCAGTTCCAGGATAAGGATTTTTTAAATAATTAATATCGGGTTCGTCTTTCATATTTACTAATAATTTCTTAGGAATTTGCGTAACATCATAACATTTTAACCCGTCTGGAATACCGATAGGTTTATCATTTAAATCCAAAAATGAAATATATGAAGTATCATCATCGATCGCAACACATGATATCTTGAAAAAAAGGCCTTCAAATGCTTGAATATTTGGTTTTCGAATTTTTATACCTTGAATATCCACTTTTCCATAATGAATTCCTCCAGCAATACTATTTGCCATTTCTTTATAATATCTTTAAATAATAAAGTATAATTAGAATTTATAATTTAATAATAATAATATTCTATTTATTAAACATACCTGATTATTTTTTTTATGTTTGACCACGATTTTTGGCATTTTGAAAATAATTAGAAATATTGGATTATATATAAAATTCGTATGTACATGTATATTTAACCAAATTTGTAAACAATAACATGAAATTATTAAAATTCTTACATTATGTCAATGGTAACTCAATGAATATCTATCTGAATCGAGTGAATTAAATGTTATCAGAGGAAAACTTTTTCCCTTGAAATTGAATCCAATATGAATAAATAAAGTTAGTCTTTACTATGCATATTGGATTCAATTTCAAGGGCATTGCTTACAACGGCTCAGCCTTGTTGTAAATAGTACGTAATTAATTTTTTTTTTGTTAACTTTGTATCATCTGTTTACAAATTGTACCGTCGTAACCTTATAAACTCTGTACAACAAATAAATATCTTCATACAAATCGCGTGTTTTGAAATAAAATATACACTTTAAATCTTTAAAATTTCAACCATTTTTCATGTCTTTATCAGAAAATTTGCAGTTAAAAAATGGTTGGGTCGAAAGACTTGAAAACTCTATAAATAAA